GAAAAGCAGAAAGGTTAAAAGCTATTCATTGCAGGTTATACCACTTATGTGATTTGTACTGATGAATGCAACAGATGTGGACTGGGAAAAAATAAGTTCCCAAAAATGTGGATTAAAATCATAATTCAACAATCCCTAATGTTAAAATCATAATTCAATAATCCCTAATTATTATTACTGGGAGAATATTTTGTGGTGTTATAGAAGGACTTCATAATGCATTAGGATAAACATTAATTTTGTGGTAATTATTTTGTATAAATAATATTTGGCCATTTAATTTTATAGTAATGAAGCATCATTCCCTTGGATATCACCTAGTGGACTAAAATAATTTTGATGAATAATCAAACCAACCATTTAATCTTCTATCTAATATTAAATTTAAAGTAAGTCTATGTGTTAGCATATTTCAAGTCTCAATTAATGGTTTCCATAGAATATCTTGACTGATTAGATGACTTCTTCAAAATGAAGAAGAAAAACATTCCAAAATAATTTACTCCTTTAATTATTTTGTCTTCTTAAAATTATCCAGGACAATTAAAAAATAATAAATACATTGAAATAGTATTGGCCAAAACCTTTTCAAAAGAATATCTAAAGATAACTCTGTGTTCATTCAGTAGTTTGTGCAATGCTCACAGGGTGGAAGTGGGGCAGTAGAAGGAGATTGTTTCTTCTATGATTTTTATCATATCCCTTGAGCACGACAGTGTCATTGGCACTGACATAAAATGAACAATTGGAAACAGTCTTCAGGACAGAAATATTCCAAGCTTCACTTTCACAGCTGAAGATATGGAGGAAATATGGCTTTAAGCAGTGAGATGTGAAGGACAAGTGGAAAGTTTGTCAAAGATGCTGATAGAAAGGCAAAGGCTGTACATCATTTTCCCTTCACTGGCTCATGGAAACTGTCTCAGCTGAAAGGCAAATGTGCAGAATGATATATTTATTTTTCATATTAAAACCTTGATAGCTTAGTATTTTTCTCTATAATGCTATTTTCTTTGCCTTCCATTCCTCTGTTTGCATCACAGATGTGCTACCTCCAATGCCAGGGGATAAAACTGCCACAATGCTTTCTGATGGAGCCATTTATAGCAGCATTGACTTCAGTACCAAAACTAGCTACAACAGTTCCAGCCAAATAACACAAGCTACTCCATATGCCACAACACAAATACTGCATTCCAACAGCATCCATGAATTGGCAGTTGATTTACCGGATCCTCAGTGGAAAAGTTCAATTCAGCAAAAAAGTGATTTAATGGGATTTGGTTACTCTCTCCCAGATCAGAGCAAAGGCAACAATGGTGATTCTTGTTCTTATTTTTCTTTTATGAAAATCTTCTCTGCATAGGTAGAAAATTCTAATTTGCCATCTTCTGTTCCCACTTCCTTTAATGTATCTTGCATGCATCCTAAAACGTTACAAATACAACTAATTGTAATATTCTATTTCAGTTTCTTTCATCTTTTGATAATTTCACATATATTCATTCCACCCTGCTGCCAATAAGATACACTAGGTTAAATATTTAAAACATCCTACATATAAGCTGTTTATGAGCTAACTGCATGTTGTGCATGTGCTATAAACTAATCACATGATGGCACTATGACCTTTGCCCTTTAACCCTTAGCCTTACTTTACATCCCTGACTACCGATTGGCTGAGGGATTGTCTAATAGAATGCCACACAACCAGTCACAAGATTTCAGCACCACCAGCTCTCACAACAGCTCAGAAAGGAGTGACAGCCTCTCAGGTTGGTTTCAATAACAATATACATAAGAAGGAAGTTTTTATTTTTAAGTAATATTATAAATTTGAAAGGCCCAAGGTATGTGATCAATTACTGTGGTATGCTTTCATGTAAACATATCTGAATGTGTCACAATCATATATAAATCCATTATTTTGCTTTTTTAAAAGTATACTTTATTTGCCCCAGTTTAAGAAGCTAATTTAGAGACTACATCAATTATGTATGATTTTGTTTCCTGTATATTTCAGCAGGAATAGATTTTTTTTCCTATAAAAATTTCACCTTTCTGGAGCAGTACCTCCTAACTGTAAATTAATCTTCACTTTATAGCTTTGATTTTCTCTAAGTAGTGTCATGATGGGTTAATATTTTGATCGTATTATTATTGTGCAGCATCACAGTATCTCTGATATATATCAATAAATCCAGCAGTAGAAATATATTGGAATTGAAAGATAAGAGTCTTATAATACATGGCTATTTAAAATGTTTAGAGCTATATCCAAACATAAACCAAAGGTAGTATGCTAGATATTGTAAAGTAATCATTGTACATGCCATCAAGCTGGGTCACAGTACATAAACAACAGTATAAAATCCCACTGTAATGTAACAAATTATATTATGCATGCCATTTTTTTAAAAAATCAACTTTTAAAAAACATGTGAAGTTATTTTTGCCATTCCTATTGTCTTGTCAGTTTCTATTTTTATTGCTCTTCTACTTATTTCCATATATCTATCCTCTAAAATCCCTGTGTTGCCTTTATCCATTCAGAATTCTTCTGTATGATTGCCTAATTCTGTTTGTTGTTTCATTCTTCTTCTTTGGTATATAGCATGTTATGATCAAGTATAGTATGATGATTAGGTATTTTGAATTTCCACAAAATGTGATAGATCCTCATCATTTGATATGTGTATATATTCTTATCTATTTTTTATAATTATTTTTTCATTCCTCACTGTTCATTTCTCCATGGGTAACAGATAGATAGATAGATAGATAGATAGATAGATAGATAGATAGATAGATAGATAGATAGACAGACAGACAGACAGACAGACAGACAGACAGACAGACAGACGAGGGAGGGAGACTACTGCATTGAATTGATTTAAAATATTACAAAAATACATTATTTCTGTATTTTTTTAACTGAATGCTGCAAAGCTGTTCCAATAATAAACTGCTTATAGAATTTTTTTTAGGGTTTAGCACCTATACTTGGCTTTCTGACTGAAAATAAGCCAAATGAGTCATCTTTGGGATTCTGTTCTTAATAACTGAGAAAGTGAGCCTGGGAAATGGTATTATAAATACTCTGTGTTTTGAAGCAATTTGCTCTGGTGTTTTATTTTTCCTAACACTTATTGCATGGGAATTTAAAACAGACAAAATAAATCAATAAATACAGTTTTGACACAGCAAGTACATTTTAACTTTTATTCAAGTTATGATTCATTGTGACTAGGCTATATGGAGTTTGTGAAATGAAAAGAAGTAATGCTTGGTAATTATGCAGGCTTTTTTTTTTTTAATGCCATTCCAGTCTATTATTATTTCTAACCTTATGTCAGCTATAACATCTTGCTGCTGATGTTGCTAAAATAAAAATAGGGGGGGAAAAAATC